CAAAACCCCAAAACCCCAAAACCCCAAAACCCCAAAACCCCAAAACCCCATTCTTCTGTATTTGGAAGATAATGGAATTTATTAAATTTAGCCTAAAGATTTAATAAATATTAAACATTCTTATAATAGATATTTTTGAGTTAATCAAATGGAACCAAATCATAATAAAGAGGGCTACACCTATGTGCCAACTGATGATCATGAATAAAAGGGATAACCAAACCCCATTCTAAATCAAAACCCCCAATAATAATAACAGTTTTAAGCTCAAACTTAATAAATGCCATAATAATAGTAGTAGTAGCCCCCAATGTACATGCAAAATAATCCATATGGCAACCAGCAATAGCAACCTTTATTGTAAAACTAACCAGGATATGTGCCTCCTCCTCACTTTTAACAGATGCCACCAAATGGAAATCCATATACATAGCCATTATAATATGGCATGCCACCAAATCCAAATATGTATCAGTAATAGCCAGGTGGATTTTACCAGCCACCACCTCCACAGGGTTACTACTAACCACCTGGTGGTTTAACACAACCAGGACCTGGAGGTGTTTAACCTTAAAAAATTGAGGTCAGAATCGAATAAACCCCTTAATCTGCTCATCATGGGCACGGTCATGGGCATGGTCACGGGCATGGTCATGGACATGGTCATGGGCATCATCATCCAGGAGTAATATATACTTAAGCTCATCTACCTATGGTGGTAAGATGCTACAACTGCGGTTACGACGGGCTTACTCGTGCTGAAGTTATCGATGGTGCAGCTGTGTGGGTTACTTGCATTGTCTGCTGCTTGTTCGGTTGCATATTATGCGCTCCATGCACATTTTGCATGGATGGACTTAAAGATGTCAATCACTATTGCGGAAGTTGCCACACTCTAGTTGCTGTTAAGAAACCATGCTCATGATGAAGTATCATCAATTATCTAATTGAATTATATATCAGATTTCTTAATAAAAAACAGTAATTATATTAGAATTTATGTTAAGATATATTAATCATTTATTGATGCTTTTATGGTTAAATTCCTAGAAGTAGTTTTTAGGAATTTTATCAAATGGATGCTTATAAGCCTCCTAGAGTTTCTTGATATTTTCTTGGCTCATCTCTTCATGTCCGTTCATAGTTAGCCTTCTCTCAGTGCCTTTCATTATATTTCCATCTACAAATTTCATGATTGTTCCTCTCCTGTCAGTCTCTAAAATTTATTCGTCTCCAAGTTTTGAGTTGTGGATATTTTGTTCGACATCCTCAAGATTTACACAGTTTACTCTCTCCTCTAATTAAGACAGTTGATCTCTTGCTCTCTTCTTTTTAGTATTATAATGCACATTTAGAAAGATCAATACTAGAGATTATAATGTAATGAAAACCATGCCACCTTTGAAATAACCATCACCAAATTATTAGGCGAAATAGCCCATGTTCAGAACTTGGAAGAAATATATTGAAAATAGCATAAATGGTAGTACTTGTTTCTTAATGACACCACCACCTTCAAATTCCTTGTTGTAGACAAATGTTAAGTTATACTTGTCAATAAAGTATTTGAGAGCAAAAAAAAGCATAGCAAAGACGCTTATCAAGGGCATAGTACCTGTGAATATGAGCGCCATGCAGAAAATAACAATGGAGTAAGATTAATGGTAGCCTAAATCGAAAGCAAAATCATCAACATAAGCCTTAGGGTTTTCTTCCTTTTTTTAAGCTCTTTAATGGAAGAAATACTTAATCATCTTGATTAAATGATGAGGAATGTCCAAAAGTTGAACGCCATTTGAAATAAAACATAGCTGAATAGTGTAACGTAAGAAGAAAAAGTTATTATTCACTAACTTAACTCCAAGTTCTTTGGGCAAATCTTCCCAGCTTTTATCGGAATATGCTTCTAAACATGCTAAAATAGTGGTTTGTGCTGTTAATTAAAGTACCACAGTATTGAATAACTGGAAGAAAAAGTTTTTCCTCATAATACCTAGTTATTTCCTACTCTTAGTTTTATGTTCTTCTAAGTATGCAATAAAATCAATTAGCAAGGGAATTATACCGAAGTTGAAGATAAGAAGAATTAAAGGCGATAAATATGTTGATATCATAACAGCGAAGAAATTACCTTCGCCTAAATTCTCAGTGATTGCATCAATGATAGGCTTAATGTTGTCAATTACTGAAATGGGAGTTATGAAAACGACACAAGAAAGGAATAACATAATAACTAAAAACCATGATTTTACTGTGGTGATTCCATCGTCTTTATACATATTCTCCCAGATAATGTCTGATTGAGCAGGTGACTACTTTATCCTCCACTGTAAAGCTTGAGTCTCCAATCGTTCCTCTTTAGTTAAATTCTCCATTATCATTGTTTGAAAGTAATTTTTATGCAAGCATTTCTTTACTTAGAGGTTGGAGATAAAAGTAACAAAACCAAACCCGCCATTGATCTTCATTTTTCTTTCTTTCTCCAAATGGATTTAACCTAGCTTCTTCTTGATTTTGGCTTTGTAATGACCTTCAGCATCGTATTTAAGGTAACCCTTACAGCATCCAATTCTTTTCTTCAACATTTTCCTAGGTGGTTTGAGTTCTTCCAAATTACTAAGATCTTGAACTACATTTTTTTGAGATTACTCTTTCTAGAATTTTTCAGATAGCTTTTTGTTTTAAAACTTGTAATATCTGTAATATCTTTTGAGATCTCTCAGCCTTAAAGCCATATTATAAAGTTCATCTAATTTTCCAACAGCCTTTGCTGAAATGACCTTTTAGTCAGGGAAAATTCTCTCAAAGACAACTCTTATTCTTTTTTAGATGGTTATCTAGTTGACATCAGTTGGCAAATTTGTAATCATTACTGAATGTAATGCAATATCTTAGTCTAGAAATTTATCTCTATGAGAATGCTTTTTATATCTCCATTCCATCGACATCTTCCAATAGAAGAACATAAAGACATAAGCTGCTACAGTGTAGCATATTGTCATTATACAATATACAGCTTGCTATTTCTTTTCATTCCCGGTTATATTTAGTACTGTTAATAAAGAAATAGCTATTGTTCTTTATTGTTCATCTTAAACATCAGACAATTTGTCAGGTTTGCCTGTGGCATAAACTGGAATAAAAATCATGAAGTTAATGATCGAAATAATAGCAAAGAATTTGCCCGCAAATCTTTAGAAGATCAGATACAAAGCTCCATCTGTGCCAGAAATGACTTTCAAGTCTTCATCATTTATGTTTCTTAGAATGCTAAACCAATCAAGGATGCCTGTAGGCTTTTTCTTATTTTGACCTTTCTTGTAAGATTTCCCTCTAAAAGTGTTCTTAATTATGGAAAATTTCCTCACTATAGAAATTGGTTACTAATTAGAGTAATAAAGGAAGTAGAAGTGTATACTTTAACTATTAATAACCAATCAATGAGTACTTACTTAATGATTCCTTTACATTTTTCTTTCTGATTTCTTTCTCATCTTCCTCTGGATCTTTGGGAACGAATTTATCAATATCAAATTGTTCACCTTCGTCTGTTGGTATTTGCTCTCCAACTTCAATGTATTCTAGCTTTTGCTTTTTTTAATCTTATTCCTCATTCTCATCAAGTATTGACGTCTACTATTATATTAAAGGTGCATTTGCTGTGGCTTGTATTTGCTATTTTTCTGGTTCAGTCTTAGATCTTTTCAAGTCATTCTTTTCAGTAGAATCATCCTCAAAGATTGTCTCTTCCTCAGACACTGCCCATTGTAAATCTAATGTCTTTTTTCTTACAAGTTCAGAATCATAATCTAGTTTCTCATCAATTCTATGGCTGTCTAGACTCTCTTCAAATAGGAGTTCATTCATATCTTGAGATAATACTCCTTGAGCTGAGACAGTCTATTTATCTCCTCTGTATCGTCTGATGATGACGAAGCCTAATAAGATTCCTGAGAGACCAACAAAATCAATTAAGAGAGTTGTCAAGACTCCCAAAGTCATATTATCTATCATCTTAAGTCTTATTTCAACTTTAAAATTATAATAATTTACAAAAACAATTATAATAAATCCATGAATTTATTCTATTCTTAAGCGATGGGGTTTTGGGGTTTTGGGGTTTTGGGGTTTTGGGG